TTCTTCAGAATGTTCGAGAATGGTTTGAAAATAATTTGTATTACTGTATGGAGGTTGGCGAGCAACATTTTCAGCATTTGCTTCATTAATGAGGTAAGTTTTTTTAATCAATTGAATTTATGCGTTTTTTTTGCAAAAAATACTTTTCAAATTTCAACCCTTCATATTTTCAAAATGACTCGACCGATTTTTAAAAACGAAGCGGGGAAATATAGAGAATAGAAAGTTGACTAGATACTTGACCCCCCTTCCCATTTGAAAAAAGTTGGGGGATGACACCCTCGCTTAGAGGGTTGAAGATTTTGCAATCATTTTTAGGGCAAAAGTTGTCCCCCTCACAAACCAAATTGACGTGTTTTTGGATTTTTTGAAAAAACAAATACCCTGGCCGTTATGCCTGGCGGAACGTTTACGATGGGCCACCCTGTATAAAATCCTTAAGTGACTGACTCACTGATTAATCACGATCCTGCTCAAACTACTCAACGTAAGAAGCTCAATTTTGGCATTCAGATTGATTCTAGGGTGTAGAGGTTCGATAAGAAGGGATTTTTCGAAATTCCAGTTCCAAGGGGGTGAAACCACCCCTCAAATATTACGATATTTTTTATTTAAAAAACGGTCAAGTTTCCGAAAAAACGCTTAAACACGGGTATTTTATTTTGTTTTTCTACATATTTTAAGCTTTTTTAAAAATGTATACAGGGTGTTTCAAAAAATCTGGTCATTGATTAACCACGATCCTGCTTAAAGTGCTTGACATAAAAAGCTGATTTTTGGAAAACGGATTGACTTTAGTGTGTAGAGGTTCGATAAGAAGGGATTTTCCGAAACTCGAATTCTAAAGGGGTGAAACCACCCCTCAAATATTAGAATATTTTTGTATTTAAAAACCGGTGAGTTTTTCGGATTGATATTAATGAATTTGTATTAATTATAGTAACTATAATTTAAAAAATTGCAAAATTTTTGTGACAAGTTCATTTCGCTCTTAAAAATTAATCAATTCATTTGTTGGCATGAGTCAAAAAAACAAAATATTCAGGTGACACCGTTCGACCGAAAAATACTGTTTTAGGTTTACGAAATTATTGCACAGGGTGTTTTAGATAAGGTAAAAAACAACTCTTAATCCTCTTAACATCTTTTCTCTTAAACAACTCTCAATCCTAAAGAAATATTTTTAAGAAATAATTTTAAACTTGAACAAAAAATGTCCGTTGCGATTTTTTGGCATCTGAGTGCATTATTTTACAAATTTCCAAAAATAAATTTAATTTTTATATAACAAAAAATAACATATAAAACGAAAATTGAGACTTCATATTTCGTAATCCAAAATTTATATACACGTAGAAATTGAGATATAAACCAGCTGTAGAGCTTCTCCATAAATCCTATTATTTAAAGAAATAATTTTAGCTGATGGACATATCCGGCGTATACAATCTGGTTTCAAAGCAGGCGAGGATCATATCCTTGTTGCATGACAAGCGAATACATTATATACATATTAAATTTCGCTGTACAGCTGTAGTTCTCGTGTTCTATTCAGAACGACATACAGGATTAGGCAAACTATCATCGTTGCCCGTAATTTTCTGTTTGAAATTATCCTCTATTTGTGTCTAAACAATTTTGGTTTCAAATAGCATGAGGAATATTCATTTCAATAATAAGATACTGAATTAACCAGACATTAATCTACATATTATTTATAAATTTAAAATTAAACAAAGAAATGTCAATAATCGAATCGCTTTTCAAAAAATTTTATGCAATTTTTTATATACCAGCTCAAAATATCGGGCTCAAATTTAAATGTTAATAAAATGTAAAATGTATTGATTGCAGACCAAAATTATACTAAATTATTTTAAATGTGTACCTATACAGGGTGTTTCAAAAAACATTTGCCATCTCCTCATTGTAACTTTTACTCCCAAAATATCATTTGAATCACTAAAAACTTGGATGAAAATTATAATAAATAAAAAAAATGAAGATTTTAAACTCCGGTAGCTACGAAACAAAGCAGAATCCGACCCCACGTTGATACGAAAAATACATTTTATTTTTACGTGAAGAATATTCCTAGGAGAGACAGCACATGTTTTTTGAAACACCCAATATACCTGGTGCGTCTCAAAAGTGGCTCACCCCTATAACTTTTTTATTTTTCAGATAAGTAATCGAAATTTGGCATCTTAATATATCGTCAGTGAAACGTGATAACCTGCTAAGTCCATTTTTGATTTTAAGTAAATAATACGCTTAACACATGATTTTTACGTAAATTTTTTAAAGAAATATTAAGTATTATTGCTCCCTAACAAAGATTATTGTTATCTCTATATCATATTAACGCATAAATATATTTGCTACATGTGTGCATTTATTTTTTTGTGCCGTTTCTTTTCTCTCGTCTAAAATTATGAATAATGGAGTTAGCAGTTTATCACATTTCACCGACGATATGACATAAATTAGGATTGATTGATGTATTCATTTGTTTCTGTCACTTCCTGTTTCACCGGAAATGACAACAACTTTTGATATTTAAATGGTACCCTCGGTGTTTTGTTGCTTTACTCGATAGAAAATGACACTTTGAATAGAATGACATATCATATGTCAACTTTTGACATTTTCGAATATGGTTTATTTAAAATTGCAACCTGCAATTCTTAACGACAATTTGACTCGAAATACCAAGTATGTGGTACCAAATTATTCGTAAAAAAATACTTTTTTCAGATATGCTAATGAGCCACCCTCGTTCCATTTGAAAAAAATTGAGATATGATTAAAAATACGATTTGGGCATCTTTTAACCGGCCAGGATAAGACACGAATAACATTAGACGATCAAATCTATTTTTCCAAGGCTCTTTGATTAAAAATTAGTTTTTTAACACAGCCATGGCACTCTAAATTGAAATTTAAAATGCAATATTGTTTTAAGCAAATATTTATGTCAAAAGGTTACATATGATATGTCTACTCAGAATGTCATTTTCTATCAAATAAAGTAAAAAAATATACCGAGGGTGCCATTTAAAAATCAAAAGTTGTAGAAATTTCCGGTGAAACAGGAAGTGGCCGAAAAGAATTGAATATGCCAATCAATCCTAATTTATGTCATATACTAACATACCAAATCTCGTTTTTTTATGTAAAAAATAAAAAAAATAGGAGTGAACCACTTTTGATACGCACCCGGTATAAAATAAATAAGTTTGTATTTAGAGCAAAATGTTAATTAATACTCTAAAACAACTTTTCGTATTAATTGAAATTTTAGAACGGTAGTTTCAAAAATGGTGTTATTTAATTAGTAAACAAAATACAAAAAGCCCAAAAATAAGACCTAACCCTTATATGTATGCTATTCTCTGCATTAAATTTATCAGACTGAAGGAAACAGCCATTCGACGACCGGTTTCGGAGATTTATCTCCATCGTCAGACTCACTTTGCCGTAACCCCCAATCTGACAAACGAACGAAACAATCATTTTATTAGACCCGCCATATCAACTTACTAAAAATAACTGATTAAGTTAAAATACTATAAACGATTAAAATATTAATATTTATTTTAGGAAAAATGCATAACTCATTGAACTATGATTCACCTTTTTTTATCCAAATTCATTTCAGTAATCATCTATACTAATATATAAAATCCTTAAGTGACTGATATACTGATTAATCACGATCCCCCTCAAACCACTCAACGTAAGAAGCTCAATTTTGATTCTAGTGTGTAGAGGTTCGATAAGAAGATATTTTTCGAAATTCCAGTTCCAAGAGGGTGAAACCACCCCTCAAATATTACAATATTTTTTTATTTAAAAAACGGTCAAATTTCCGAAAAAACGCTTAAACACGTTTATTTTATTTTGTTTTTTTTATACATATTTTAAGATTTTTTAAAAATGTATACAGGGTGTTTCGAAAAATCTGGGCATTGATTAATCACGATCCTGCTTAAAGCGCTTGACGTAAAAGCTGATTTTTAGAAAACAGATTGACTTTAGGATGTAGAGGTTCGATAAGAAGGGGTTTTTCGAAACTCGAATTCTAAGGGGGTGAAACTATCCCTCAAATATTAAAATATTTTTTATTTAAAAACCTGTGAGTTTTTCTGGAAAGTTTTTTTAGTATAGTATGACTTTTTTTGAAACTTTACCCGGCGAGCTGCTTTTGTTACTGTTTCTGTAACTTTAGACTGTTATTTAATTTTTTATTCGGGGAATACAATATAATATGAGAATTTCTATTACGTTTGTTGGCCCTGTAACTCTTGAAATGTTGGGCCTATGAAACAAAATGCATTTAGCAATTATTATAGAGAATAATATGAGCTTTAATTTTATATATAAGATATTTTCTATACGAGTCATATTTTTGACATCTAAAAGCATTTGAAGCCTAAAAGTTCAGAAAAAAAATCTCTTGTCTACTGGAAGTCTCTGTCAATCTACGGGAATTTTTAAAACATATTAACCCAAGTCTAGAGGAACCGTTTAAAACCATTTCTAATACTCTAAGAATTGTTTCGAGAAATATGTCTGGGCTATATTCTAAAATTAATCCATAGAGTGTTTTAATAAAAAAAAATTGCATCTGAGTGTATATTACTCAATTTATAAAACATACTAGCAAAATGTAACTGGTATTATATCGATAAAAAGGTAAAACTAAAAAATAAAGAAAAATATTTTTTTAAAAAAAGTTTTTTTGAGTTAATGACATGCAAAGCTTTTAAGGATGACACAGAGCTGTTTTTTAGTTACTATGATTGAACCTGATATATTCATGGACCTAAAATACTAATGTGATTTACATATATTTTCCGAGTAATATACCTGAAAAATAACAAATTATTTTTAACATTCCCTTTTTTCTTTCCCTAAACAACAGAGATGGTCTTGTTAGGCGATGAAGTGATGATTGTTAATGTGTAATAATATAACGCATCACTTGATTTTTTTACCTGTAAGCTGCCACACTTAATCGACAATAGTTAGTGTGTCTTGAGAAACTGCCATCCCTAAAGAAAATAAGAAAAGTATAAAAAAGTTGACGGCAGAAATAATTTATTAAAAGAGTATTGATTTAGAAGTTAATTTTTAATAGTAGAAGTACAATATTTAAAAACTGTCTCAGTTATTACAGCAATCAGAACTTTGTAAAAAAAAACAAATAAAAATGGATATGATAAAGGTACAAAACCCTTTTCATTTTGAAGCTGCATCAGAATATGAGAGAGAAGTGTCATCATCCTAATGCTTTAAGTTCTAGTTTAATAGAATTGTTACACAATATCTATACAGGTTTATAAAATAATATTTTGTTAAAGTCTTTGTTTTAAAGTCTTTTTGCTTACGTTAAAGCGATAGATTTGACTTTTCAGTCAAATATATCGCTGGCTTTTATGAAATGTGATATACCAAGGGCTGGCAAAAATTATGGCAGCACAGTCTTGGGTAGAGATTTCCGTATGTAAGAAGAGTACAATGCTTTTATAATATACTAAACCAAGAGAAAACAGTAAAAGCGTTGCCAAACGTATGAAATAAATCGAGAAACTATGCACATTGCTAAGAGACCTGACAGCACTAGCAGTAACCAATTAGTACTTAAAATTCCAGGAAAGGGTGTACATTATACGTTCAGCTTCACGATTTAATTACGTCTTGTGATACTTTATTTGTTTATTTATTAAGGGGTCGTAATTTTCCCTACAGCTTGTAAATTTTTAAGTGCAAGTTAGAAACACTTCCATTTTTGGTAAAAATATATAGAATTGAGTTGGTGTTAGAACTCCATTGGAAACAATTGATTGTAATTTTTTTCAAAAACTTTCTTAATATTTCCGCTAAATTTTTGAATGAAAAAAAAAACAAACCTATCGAATTTTTCTTATTTAAACATCTTGTGAACAATCCGAACTTCAAAATAAAAAAAAAAGTTTCAATACCTAAAGTTGTTCTTGAGTTATCGCGTGTTATGTGTTAAAAATATATATTGTTCTTATAAAAAAATGGACACCCTAACGATATCCTTATAATTCTACTTCAGATGCTCAAAAACATACCTAATCGTTTTATCTAGTTATCTTTCTGAAAAAAAGTGTTCTTAAAAATAAGCGGTTTGCGGTCGTGATTTTACTTTACTTGATAGGAACAAGTGTACCGGAGAAATGTGACAACGCCGCAACAGCACACCGTCCGAACCAAACCGTCGCATTTCTTTCGCTCCGACTTAATAATATCCCTATGCGATTTACTTCCTCACATATAAATACCGACTCAAAAGTATAAGTTGCCAGCACGGTATAATAAAATCATTGAATTCAACAATTTTCATTATAACGCATAAAGGTCGGAGTAAAACTCTAGTAATAAATAGTAGTTAAGAGTCTATTACGCTGTAGGGGTGTATAAGGTGTGTATACAAAGGGCTGGCAAAGCTTAGTCTTGGGTCGAGATTTCCGTATGTAAGAAGAGTACAATGCGTTTTATAATGTACCGAACAAAGAGGGAACAGTAAACACGTTGCCAAACACATGAAATAAACTGAGAAACTGTGTAAATATTGCTAAGAGACGTAGAAGGGGATAAGCAGATTTGTCGTAGTCGAGCGGCCGACCCAATCAGTACCTCTGTCAGTACTTAAAGTTCTAGGGAAAGGTGTACATGATGCGTTCAGCTTCACGATTTAATTACGTCTCGTGATACTTAATATGTTTATTTATTAACGCGTCGTTGTAATTTTCCCTATAGCTTGAATTTTTTTAAGTGCAAGCTAGAAAATAAGTGGAATTGAGTGGGTGGTCGATAGTGGTCGCGCTATTAGAACTCTGAATTCAAAAATCGATATCTCGAAATCTATTAGAAATAATAGATTGTAGTTTTTTCAAGAACTTTATTAATATTTCTGCTGTATTTTCTTTGTAGACAGTATGTGAAAATCTTCATCAATAAAAAAATTACACGATGGCTAAAAATTGCTATGCTCTAAATGTAAATGGATGTTTACAATTTTTGAATGGAAAAAACAACCTTATCGAATTTTTCTTATGTAAACATTGTAAAATATCCGATCTTGAAAATAAAAAAACGTTTCAATATCTAAAGTGGTTCTTGAGTTATGGCCTGTTATGTGTTAAAAAGTTCAGTTTTTAAATTATCGCGATGACTGACGTTTTCTCGTTATAAAAAAAATGACACCCTAACGATATCCTTATAATTCCATTTCAGATGCTCAGAAACAAGTCTAATGATTTTATATAGCTATCTAGTTAATTCAGAAATTTACTTCAGGCTTAGCCCAATCCTGACGTTTTAAGCCACACCAAAAATTTGCGTATTTTAAAACGCTTATTTTGCTACTTTTTCGGACTAGTGAAATGGACTCTTAAGACGACACTATTTGACTGTTATACAATAACCCAGTTCTTTTAAAATTCCATTGTGCTAATTGGTATATTACAAGTAAGAGCTTGCTTTGAACAAAACCGTAGAATGCTGTATTTTCCTGGTTTTGTACTGGATGAAAAACCGTTATATTTAAATAAAATAAGAGGCAGAGAAAAAGTAATAGTGGAACATATATTAACATCAAGAAAATAACATGATACTTAAATATCTTTGAAAACTTTACGAAAATATTTAACCATAGAATAAGTAAAATAACTTATCCGAATCATTGTTTGAACTGATTAAGAAGAAAAAATATAACGGCATATAATGCGAAACACGAAATTTTATTACTAGCATATGTTGATCGTACAAAAACAAAGACCGGAGGGGAATTGGAAAGAAGAAAATGTCTTAGCTAAGAAATATCAGAGAGGTGGACAGGGTTACACGATCTACAGTCGTTAATACCCACCTTTACGAAACCCAGAAGTAATGGAAAATGTTATCCCACACAACCATTACTGGATTTGCATTAGAAAAAGAAAAAGACATTAGATCGGTTACCTAAATATAATTGTTAGAATGTCTCAAATGTCTATAAAAGGTAAAAAACCTGAAAGAAACACACTCAAACAAAGCCGGAAAGGCAAGAAAGTCGGCCGAGTTAAGAATATGAACGTTTTAATGCGATTAAATCTGAAACGGTTTTTTGCGACAAAAATTACGGGATTTGCGAGAGGCTTTGCCAGTCGTCGCCGGATGCCGAGATAACGGACAAAATAATGGCCGACCCAGTTAGGGGTCGTTTTCTAACAAGGCTGCCACACGGTTTTTCGGCAATTTTCTGCTTATAATTTCCATTGTGCGGACAAGAATAATTCTTTATCAACACGAGTTTAGCAATTTTATTTGGATTAACCATAAAATACGTTCTTCTTTATAATGCTATAAGAGTTTATAAGATATTTAAGGCCTTCAACAATTGAACACCTCGGGGGAAAATAGTAACAAACCACAACATGAGTGAAATTGATTTAATATTATGATTTATTGATTTAAGAACGTAACAAGCCACAAGGAAGAAAGTGCGGTATTTGGGCAACAGATGGCGCCACAGTTATCTAGTGACGTTCTTCGGTCAGGACTGAATGCTGTCTGATGTTGACGGAAGAACGGTAACACACATTTTAATCATGGCGACCGGCAGAGATAGTGCGGTTAAGCGAAAGTTGTTTATTTATGATATGAAAACAGCGACAGTAGTGATATTTCGAGTGAAACGGATGATAGTGTAAGGGATAAGGACTATTTTAATTCGAGTAGCAGCAGCGATGACAGCAGTGTTGTCACCTCAGAGGTAAATAGAATATAACGTCACCTGTTACGTTTTTAACTAAAATTTTGAACGTTTTTGAAAGCTTAAAAATATTTCAATTATTGCAATTTGGAATTTGCGGTGAGTATTTATTTCCACCTGAGTTTATGGAACGTACTCTTATTCTAAACAAGGCGTAAAATTTTGGAATAGAAAGAGGTTAGGTTAGGTTATTTCAGATGGCGTGTGGCTTATTACCTTTTTGCATAAAAATTTATCAATTTCAGTTTTGGTGAAAACAACTGATAAAAAGGTAATGTATTATTTTTTTTCCAGGGTGGACGTGCTACTAGAGGATTCATCGAAACGCCGGAGAAAAAGAAGGCTGCCAGGAAAAGACAAATCAACACAGAATGCAGGAAGAAAGTTAAAGCCCAACATAGACGAAATCTCGGACATGGATATACCACTACAAAAGGAAAGACTCAAATACCTAGAACTTTGGGCCCACCATGTAGCTGCAAGAAGAAATGCAGAGAATTACTACACGGAGTAGAAATGGCGATATTTCAATCATTTTGGGACCTACAAACGTTCGATAAACAAAACGCTTATTTATTTGGCACAATCAAGAGTGTCGGTAAAAAACGAGTCTACCCAAAGAAAACCAAAAGGCAGACATCCTCAAGATCTACTACGTTTAGGTACTTTGTAAAAATCAACGGAAAAGACCAAGAAGTTTGTAAACAAGAGTTTTTATCTATCCATGGTTTGCGAAATTCAAAAAGACGAGTTTATAATATCTGTACCCAGATAAACCAAGGACTTCACACACCAAAGAGCGATGGTCGCGGAAGACACAAGAATCGGAAAAACAGGTTACCTGAAGAAACTATCCAGTCTATTCATGACCACATTAAGGCCATTCCGAAATATCGTAGTCATTATAGTAGAGAACGTAACCGACAAAAATGCTATATTGATCACGATATATCTATATCTTCTCTATACAAAAAATACTATATCCCTTGGTGTCAAGAACGGAACATTATTCCCGCAAAGGAAGATAGATATCGCAGAATCTTTTGTTCTGAATACAACATCGGATTTAAACTCCCTAAGAGCGACACGTGTGCAACGTGTGATGAATATAATACTTTGCTTAATACCCACAAAGGTGATGAGAACAAATTGAAGGAAATCAAAACAAATTTAGACCTACACCAAAGATGAGCAGAAGCGATGCAGACAAACATGAAGAATGAAATTCAAAGATCTAAAAATGAAAATAACTTGGAAGTTATATGCTTT